TGCTGGTTTGCTCGGAAATTTGGCAACAAAGATATGCATGCACTTTCAGGGGGAAGACCGCGTCGGCCGCATGCATCCTAGGAAGCATCAGGCACAACCTCAAGCTTTGGCAGCATGCCGGGGCAAAAGGCCTAGAGCACCCCTTTGGGGCATCAGGAGGAGAGATTAGCTTAGACCCCGCCCAAAGGCGTGTTACTGATTTGTACCCTCTTCTTTCATCCACCTGATCGCTTGATCAAACGTTGTTTTCCGAACTCTTCTACTAAATGAATGAATGCCAGCAGCATGTTGGGTCTTTCAAAAAGAAAACATTCCACCCATAAGTGACAGGAAATGAATCGTTTTTCGGCACTTTTACCAAAACCCCTTCATTCTTTGGTAATTAATCCACAATCCATCTTTAAAACAGGAATAAAGAGAAAACTCTCAAGTATTGGGACTAATCAACCCATAATCCATCTGAAGCAAATGTTTCTTAAAAATATTCATATCTTTTAAACCCTAATTTTGAAATGTTATTTATGAATTTTGATTAGAAAAATGTGTAGAATCCAAATATGATTTTATTTAGTTGTTAACCAATTTAAGGTGTAACCTTAATTAGTAGCGCATGATCGATCTTTCTATCGTTCCAATGTTAATCCGGATTACAAATGAACATCTCAATAAAACCAGATTAGAGATGAAAGATACCATCGATAATTACGCCATGCACGTCTCAGAGAAACCTCACAGGGAGAATAAAATGTAGGTTGCTCATCTTATGTCGACAGGGAGTGACATCTTAGGATTGAGAACATTCTAACGCATTGTAATTGCGTGGGCACTGAGGACACCGTCGATGAGGGTGGGAAGGAGGATAAGCGGCAACACATATGAGATGCTATGTTGAAATAAAGAACGTGGACTTTGGGGTCTTCAGTAATGACTATTGGGCTAAGAGTTTGTGGTATTTTTTTCCTCCCGTTGCAACACAGGGGCTCTTGTGGTATAAGTATATCTACGGAACCTGCACATGATTATTTTTAAATAAGCACGTGGTACCTTTGAAAAGAAAAGTATAATTTTTTATCAGCACTAAAGTTAATTTGACCTTTACTGATCACGTACTTTTTACCATATGTTAATGCTGCTAGCTGTGGACTAATTTTATTCTTATTTGAAAGTAGTACTCCCTCGGATCCAAATTATTTGTCGCTGTTTTAGTAGTACAACTTTAGAATAGAACAAGGACAATTAATTTGGATTAGATGGAGTAATGATTCAATGTTTAACTGTAGGAGCTTTGCATGAAGAAATATGTTCACATTATTAAACTGATGAATGTAGTACAAGCAACTGTGGAGAGATGCTCCATATTAACTCTTCACCGTACCATGCCAGGCTTGTCCGATCTGACACAAGGAAAAATTTCTCCAATATCTACTTCTTTCGTTTTTCTCCATCGCATAAGGGTGTATGCATGTCCATCATGTTTAACATTGGTGACGATTGAAAAATTGCACACTCTAGTTAACCGTCTGTTTTTAACCGAAAAAAAAACCGTCTGTTTGGAAACAGAAAATTTATGTGTAACTTGTGCCGCCGATTTATGCTATGAAGCTAGTTCTCGTCATGGTCGTCGGAAGCCCAGGCCATGCACTCCTCCAACATCTGCCTCATCGTCGTTGTAGTCGTGGGGTTACTGCCACTACCAACTTCAGCACGACGCCCCGCCGCCGCATGGCCCGCGCTGGCGTGGACGACGCAGGGCGCAACAATGTAACGTTGAGCGTCGGATGATGCCGTGTTGGACGACGCGGCGCCGGTGAGTTGCTGCACGACGCTGCGGAACTGGGAAGGTGGCACGACGTAGACGACGGTGGCCGTAGGGTCCCTTCTCCTCCAGTGCGGCCTCGGCGGTGTCGTGGTCGAGCCGCGGCCGGCGGTGCCATTGTTGCCGCCGTTGTTGCTGCTGCTCATTGCGCCTGCCCCTGCCCCTGCGTCCACCTGTCAGGTGGTCTAGCTGTGGATGGACGAATGGGATCGAGCGGTGGTTGTGCATGCCACATCTATAGCCGCCGCGCAGGGAGTGAGTCAACGGTAGTCAAAGTTGAACGAAGGAAGCCGAAACCAAATGGTAATGCTGCTACTGCTAGTGCCGGTGCTACGGCATCACTAGACTAAACTAGTTTGTATACGTCCATGTCCATCCCAAGGAAACAGAATTTTTAAAGTCCGATTTATGCATGAATGCATACATAATTACATATACACAATAGGATACGTGTTTTGGAGAAATATACATGTAAACAATACTGGCCCCTGTACGGACCAAAGAATGGAAACCACCATCCTTTGCTGGTCGCACAAGTCAGCAAGTGAGTGATAGTGTCTCTGCAACGAGCGCAGGCAGGCACGTACGGGATCCGACGCGATGACGTCGAACGTGACACCCACTTGGTCGGTCACTGTGGTCTGGTCTTGATGTAGGTGATGACGAGGGTGAAGGTGAAAGCCAGGTGCGTGCAGCGGACACGACTATTCTGCGTGCACGTGCCAATTCTCCTGGTGCGCGTATGTACAGTTGTACACACCACTTTGGGGCGAAGGTGCTAGAAGGATCGATCCTAAAGGCTGGTCGTGGCCGTGTCCGGCACGAATTTCATCTCCTCCACTCAGAGCTTTTTACTGCCAACCTACGCCTTCTGATAAACTAACCTGAGAATACATCGCTGTCATTTGGCTTTTCATTCCATTTTCCTTAATCCAGCACACCAAGCTCACGAGGGAACGAGATCTGACATTGCAAGGGAAGTCAGGTAGAGCTACAGCTCCCTGACTTTGCTTCGCCACAGCCACACTATTTGCATGTTGGTACAATGTTTAACTACAGTAATTACCGACAGTAATCATCTACAATGTAGTATGTACAGTGCCTCAATAATCTCTCTGACTTGCCTTCATTTTTCTACACAGAGAACTACTGTGCTTCTATGCCTTTCCTTCTACATGTCAGAGGAGCCGGCTCCGCGGCACGTAGGATGGGAGGCCCGCCCACATGCATCTTCTTCCTCCCTTTTCTCTTCTCTCGTCGCTCGTCTCTGCCTCTCCTTTCTCTGTCTCCTTCTCAGGCCCCACTGCCATGGTCAACCGTCGCCGCCCGGAGGCCTCCCAGAGCGCCGTCGCCAAGGGAATCAACCGATCCGCCCCCCTCGGCCAGATCCGCTTTAGACTCATGCCACCGGAGCTCTGCATGCCTCATCGGACCCGGCCACGCCGGAGCTGCAAGCGGCCATGATGGGATTACACCTCTCGGTGCAAATTTGTTGGAACCAGAGGTTACAACCATGGTGATTTTTTGCTAAAACCGACGAGCCTCAGTGGTACAACATGCATCTCTTTTTGCTACAAACAGTCACGGCAAGACGACCGACGCTGATTTTTGCTACAACCGTTGTTAGTTTTGCTACTACCGACGACCATTTTTGTTGCGTCGGTGACCGTGGACGACACGACCACCGGCATGGCGTACTACAACCAGGCAAGGGGAGTTGTAATCGTGGCCACAAGAGCTGGAACCGCAGTCCAGCGGAGCTGCAACGGTGGTCCGGTGGAGATGCATTTTTTGCTTCAACCGGCAGCAGAAAAGCTACAACCGGCAGTCAAATTTGCTACAACCACGATAATGAATTGTGGCCAGCGGGGATGACACACGTTTTGTTTTTGCTGCAACCAGACGACGACGAGGGCCATGGGCGACGACGGCCCACTTTTCTTCTGCTGCGCCAGGCAACCATGGAAGCTTAGAGCGGCGTGGGATTTTTGCCGCAACCAGACGACGACAAGGGCCACGGGCGACGACGGCGCACTTTTTTTCTGCTGCGCCAGGCAACCATGGAAGCTTAGAGCGGCGTGGGATTTTTGCTGCGACCATGGGTGGGCTCCTGGAACTGCGGTTTTTGGGGAGGGAGGATGGCGAGCGGCCGCGAGCCGACAACGTCATCGGTGTTGGTGGTGGGCGGGAGGGCGGGGTGTGGGGGGTTCTTTCACGCGTGTTGTTCGTCCAGCTCTGGTGCGTCGGCCGGTGGGAAATGAACGAAGAGATTGAGAAGGGAGGAACAAGGCGACTAGGAGCAGATGTGACGGTCTCCTGTAGCTGTATCAGGCGGCTGGGGGCCGACCGGCCCATATTTGGGCCGGCGCGCCGGCGCCCAGCACTCCCCTTACAAAAACTTGTCATGGAATCACATTCCAAGAAGGCGTGGTCAAAAAATTAAAATCGCTACATTTAAAAGCATTTTGAAACACTGGTTTTGTTTTTTTACTAAGCCTTACATGAATGTGATTCCATGACGAAATTTTATAAGCACTTGAAACATTTGTCAATGTTTCTCATTAAAAAATCAGAAATTTATTAAATTTTGTTGATTTTTTTATTTTGGAACAGTGTTTTTGTTTTTTACTATGCCTTACAGGAATGTGATTCCATGACAAATTTTTGCAAGCATTTGAAACTTTTATCATTGTTTCTCACAAAACAAATTCAGAATTTTTCAAATTTGTTGATTTTTTTTTCGATTTTACTCTTCAACGAGCTCATTTGAAAAAACATAGGTGGCAGGGATTTTATCTCGCTCGATCGAATCGCCACCAGCCGCATATTCTTGGTGCCTAAAGGATATCCTTGCCGCCTCTGCCTTTCTTCTGATAAACCAACCTGAACATCGCCATCATCAGTTGGCCTAAGGAACGCATATTCTTGGTTGGCTTTCTGCATAATTTTGTGAATTCCTTTGGATAATCTAACGTACGAACTTCACAAGATGGGACGACGTGCCAGGTGCCACGTCCGTGCGTCTCTGCCACTGTGACCGTGACCCGTCGAGGAGCGGCGGCACAGGCAGCAGTGATGGCACGCCAATAATCTTGAAGCTTTTTCCAGACACTGGATCGTGGTCTTCTGCTACTGCTACGGCCTCGTTTAAAGCTCAACCACCACCGAGAACGCATCACACCAGATGCGGTGGTGGCAGTACCGCCTCGTGGCTGCAGTGGCCTTCGTCGCCGCCGCCCTGGCCACCGGCGCCGCGGTGCTGCGGCCACCGGCGCCGCTGCGGTTCGGGCCGGGCGGCCGGTTCAAGGTGGCGCTGTTCGCGGACCTGCATTACGGCGAGAACGCCTGGACGGACTGGGGCCCCGCGCAGGACGCCGCCTCCGACCGCGTCATGGCCACCGTGCTCGACGCCGAGAAGCCTGGTAATCAGTTGCCCTGAATCTTTCACTGAATTCCAGCTTTCCTCTGAATTTTTACCTTCCAAATTACTCTTGTGCTGTATTATTGGCAGACTTCGTGGTGTACCTCGGCGACCTCGTGACAGCCAACAACGTGCCGATCCCCAACGCGACCCTGTACTGGGGCAGGGCAATTTCTGCTTCCCGACGCAGGGGCCTCCCGTGGTCCACCGTGTTCGGCAACCACGACGACATGCCCTTCGAGTGGCCGCCGGAGTGGTTCTCCCCCGCCGGCATCCCGCCCGTGCACTGCCCACCTGCCGCGTCAGGTAACCGAACATTCCAAATCGCTCTGAATTATGTACTCAACCAGTCCGTAAGTAGTGCGTGTGTGCCGTGAATGGTTCAGGGTGCAGCTTCAGAGGAACGCCGCGCATCGAGTTGATGACGGCCGAGCTCAACCGCGACGGTGCCGACGGGTTATCGCGCTCGATGGTCGGCCCCCAGGAGCTCTGGCCTGGCATCTCCAACTACGTGCTACAGGTGCTCTCGCACGAGGAACGACAAGACCCTGCTCTGCTCATGTACTTCCTCGACTCAGGCGGTGGATCCTACCCGGAAGTCATATCCTCTGCACAGGTCCGGTGGTTCCACAGCCAGTCTCACTTCCTCAATCCAGATGGCAGGTCAGAAGAAACTTGCAGCAATTGAGATCAAGCTCTACTCAACAACTACTCAAGTGACATTGGCATGTTGATGTTGCAATTTGTATAATCTTTTGCGATCATCTGCAGGATTCCTGAGATCATCTTCTGGCACATACCAAGCACATCATACGTCAAGGTGGCTCCAAAGTCCAAGACTGAGATCTGCAAGCCCTGCGTTGGTTCCCTCAACGAGGAGGATGTGGCGCCACAAGAAGCCGAATGGGGCATGATGGACGCTCTTGCCAAGAGGTCTTCAGTTAAGGTAGACTACTACTTTGTCTGAAACTCTGATGAACTACAGCCGGATCATCTCTCAAGTTGTGTAATGTGGTTACCTTTTGATGTGTACGTAGGCGATCTTCGTGGGGCACAACCACGGGCTCGACTGGTGCTGCCCGTACGAGAAACTGTGGCTGTGTTTCGCGCGGCACACGGGTCACGGCGGATATGGTGACTGGCCAAGAGGGGCAAGGATCGTTGAGATAGCCGAGAAGCCGTTCTCTGTCCACTCCTGGATACGGATGGAGAACCGGAGCACGCACAGCCATATTACATTGTCTTGAGCTTGATTCGGATAGGATTCAGAATCGTCTGCACCATGATGTGTTGAGTTCGGAAAGTCCACCAATATGCAAACAGTTTGCAACTTTGTATTCGATTCAGTTAGGCTTTGGTGCAGGTGGCTCCAACGAATAATTTTGAGTTTGGCTCATGTTAGTGTCGTTATATCACAGTATGAACTAAAATTACGACACTTATTGTATATCGCACGGAATAGTATTTTTGCTAATTTGGTTACTGTACCAGATAGAAGTCGTTGGGCGCTTTGCCGCGCCATTCTTCGTATGAGTTTTTTTTTTTTGAATTTGAGCAGTTTTAGCATGGTCCTTCTCCTCTTTTCACATGTTTAATTTCCATTGGTGTTTGTGCTTTTTTTAGAGGTCTTAGACGTTGTTAAAGAGCAGAAAAACGGCGGGAAAACGGACCAGGGCAACCCTCCTATATATACATAGCGAAAGAGAAAATCGACAGAGGCGAGCGCCGCTCCCTTTCGCACATGCTTCGACCACACGGGAGAATATCAGGTGCTCCCGGGCCTGACATGCTACCATGCTACGAGCTATTGGTAGCCGTTGGATCTCAAATCCAATGGCTCCCCGGTGTTAATGCTCTGAACATTTTGCAAAGAAGCTATTTAGATGTTTGGGAATTGTGTGCTGGTACACTGGCCTCTCAGATGCGTTAAATCTGAAATCCAATGGTCCAGAAATCTATATCACGGTATCACCTGAACCTTGGTTTCACCTCAAACTGTCCCCGGACCACATAGAGCTAGACGCACACACCATCGTATCAGCACGGCGCACATCGATCAGCGCCGACACGTCTTCAGACACATAGAGCCAGACCAACATCCACAATGACAGCACACATCGTATCAGCGCTGACCGGGTCTTGCTATATGTAAGATTCAGACTCGTCTGCATCTGCTTAGAAGATGCCAAACATATGGTTGTTGTAATTATTATGTGATCAAATGGTCAAAAAGGTTAATTACCATAAATTATTGTTGACCCATTAATTAATTTCAGGATTAATATCAATTAAATGAAAATTAACAAATCATGCCCGTGATTGGGGGGCTGAATTAACGCTAATATGGTTCAGGTCCCATGGTAAAAGCCAATGCATTATATAAGGAGTAGATTTGCACGTACGAATTAGTCCATCACATTAGTCATCGTCTACTCCGAAAATCACTCCTTTTCCAATCAGAAGAGCACGGCTCATTGACGTGAAGACTTTCCATTACTCCGGCGTCCTCTCTAGACCCAAGATGGCATCACCAGACGGAGGTATAATCAATCTACTGCTCCTAATTTCCGCATCAGATCAAATTGTGTTCATGTATATTAGATACGATCCGATTAGCAGTTGAATAATCTCAGAATTAGTCTAATATTTGGTATCAGTAGCATGACTGGATCTAATTACATGATTCGATTTGATAATCTACAGTAGACTAATCCTACTAGCAAAGAAATTGCAAATCTGATAGAACTTGCCTGCAAAATCACACCGTCGTACACAAGTTTCAGGGATCGGCGCCACGCGCTTTAAGCAGCATCGGCAGAAAATCACACCTTCTGTACGCATGGGACCTCGGCATCCGCTCATCAGTTTCGAGCGCCATCGTCTTCGATTGCGCATGAGCGATACTCGCATCACGAGAATATCATGTCAGGCGCCGCCGCACTCCTCAGGGTCGTGCGCCCGCCGTGGTGCGCATTACGGTTGTGCATTAGGGCCGCGCCTAAGGCAGCGCCTCGGCCTCCTCCTCCTTCCGCGCGCATCAGGGCGGTACTCCCGCTGCCGTGCGCATTATGGGGACGCAGTAGCCCGGATCGCGCGCATCAGCACCTTTCCCACACTTCGGGCTCACTACCGTAACGGCCGCCGGCGCTCGATCCATCCTTTTTTCCGTGAGTAGTGGCGGCGGAGCGAGAGCTGGCTAGGTTGATTCGGGATTTGGCTTTGCACTTTGCATAACTGACTTGCGTATCACTAAGACTGGGCATTAGACCGGCCTTGCTTATAACTGGGCCGCACGGAGGCATTTTGTGTTATCAGAGTTGGATAATGGCCTAGTACTAGCACGGGCAGCTTGTTTAATTTTTAATTCCATCGATGCCTAGTACCTTCAGGAAGAGCACATGCTGATTTATTTACTTTTTGGATTTTGTTTGTTATTTTGAAACAATAGATGGCTGTTTAATTATTTGTGTGATGTATGATTCAGTATCTTATGAGTTTTTTTCTCTCTCTCGGGTGTTGTTTCATACAGTTACGTCCTTAGCCTGTGCCCTGTTGTACTTTTGATAGGTTACACATGCATTTGTTTCGGTTAATACCGGTTATAAGTTAGCTGCTCATTTAAGCGTCAGCCCGTGATGCCTAGGCTGCACTACTATCATCTCCTGGGATGCACAAAAGTTAATCACGTGATGTACCTTATTATTTAATTCTGCTCATTAAATTACATGCTTGATTATTATTTCTATTATGTGCATTCCGGTCGTTATTCACGAGCATTAAGTGTTGAATTAGAATGGAACCAACGAGAAATTCTGCTATATATTCTCAAAATAATCGTGATGATTACTTTTAGTACTGCATGGTTACATACTGACCAACATTGTATGTGATCATGATCATGATTATTATGATTTTTTTGGACCTTTTATCTAAGGCTACTATATATCTTGGGATAATTACAATGATTAATTTTTATGACGCATGATTATATTCTGACCAAAGTTGATTATTATCATGATTACTATAATTAATTTTCCAATAAAGATATTACATTTTGCTCCTTTTTGTTACTGCCCAACGGTGTTGCGAATAAGGATTTAATTAAATTTGCCATGTTATTAATCAGACCAATGTAGGATTAATATCATGCATTAAGTTTCCTTATATATGGATATTTTCATAATGTTTAATATCCATGTTATTTATGTTTTATTCAGCTTTGGACCCATCAGTTATTTCCGGGGACATCAATGGAATTGAACATCTCAATGAAACTAATTTTCCTTCCTGGAAGGAGCATATTCTGAATGCCCTTGTGATCATGGACCTTGACTGTGCACTTAGAGAAAAGGCTCCTATTCCTCCGCCTTCTGATGATGAAAGCCTTCTTGAGAAAATTAAGGTTTATGAGGCTAATATGGAGAAATGGGAGCGCTCCAACCGCATGGCTATCAAGCTCATGAAAAGCACAATAAATCATGGGATCAGGGGAGCAATTCCTGACTTTGTGTGTGCTGAAACTTACCTGGCATTAGTGGAGGAGCAATTCAAAAACTCCTCAAAAGCACATGCTAGCACGCTGATCATGGAAATACTCACCACTAAGTATGATGGTGTAAGCGGCATTAGAAGGCATACCATAACTATGAACGATATGGCCGCGAAATTAGAGGGCATCTGCATTGAGATTTCTGAGGGCCTTTTGGTAGACTTCATTATGAATTCCCTTCCTGTGGAGTATGGTCCATTTAGGATCAATTATAACACACGTAAGGAGAAGTGCACCATGAGTGAGCTCATACATATGTGTGTTCAAGAAGAAGAACATCTCATGGGCATCTTATGAAAGAGTTGGGTTCAAAGGCTTGCTAATAAGGGTAATGAAAATTCCTTAAATTCCTGAATCATTGGTTTACTTATCTTCCCATAAATAATTGTGAGTTGACTCAGGTGCCACTTGCACACTTCGAACTCATTTCAGGGATTCCATTCTGTGAGGACACTCCAAAAGGATGGATTCAAGTCTTATCTATCTATCTATCTATCTATCTATATCTATCTATCTATACCTATATCTAATTACAGACTCTCATTAAGTAAGAGACATGATACTGTCATTTAAGACATATCGAAATGATGATACTGTCATTTAAGACATATTTCGAAGGGGAGAAATGAACACTCTCATTAAGTAAGAGGCACATTCCTTTCATCTACTTGGCTTATGTGATTTAGGTTAAACTATTAGTTACATTGAGGGAAATAAGCGAAGACAACTGATACAGGAGTTTTCCATAGTACTTGGGATATGGAATTAGTACGCATAAAAAAAATGAGGTCCAGTTCCTAGCACTTATAAGTGTTTTACTCTTTCATTACCTTCACACATAAGTATTCGCATTGCCCTTTTTTTCAGAAGAACAATGTTTTTTTTGTTTGTTTGTTATTGTTGCCCAATATTCACCGATGTTAAACACCCTAATTCTTTATTGAATGTTTGCATCAGTGGGAGCTATATACAAAAGGGCAATGGAAAATTAAAATTGATGGGTTCATATAGGAAATAAGATGGGAAATTGCATGTACGCTAAGATGAGTGGGAGCTAGTATATCATGTTCGTACTATATGGTACAATACATATAAAATTAGTTTTCCACTACTAAGCCTACTGTCTAAGGTGACAACAAAGCAACTTTGAATTTTAGCTATGTTGCGATACAACCAGGAAAGCCTGTGGCTGAACAATTTTATCCGGACATAGATTGGTACACTACATACTAATATTTTTGTGCGATAAGAAATCCGCACATTAGTTCATGAGTAACAACAATTAAGTGAGTATCATGTTGTGAAAGATATTGTCCAAGAACAAATATTAAACTCAGCATATATGTACTAAGTGCATGATAGCTGATCCCCAAACTAAAGGCTTACCATTAATTTTGCTAGCATAAGTATAACTCAAGGCCTCTAATTGGTGGGATAATTGTATAAATGAGATCTCAAATTTTTATCTGGACAATAAGGAAGTTTGTTTCGCTAAATAAGCACACATAGTGATTAATAAAGAAACAAACTACTAGGACCATAAGTAGGGAGTATGCCTGCATGCACATACAAACTCCCAACCATGAATAATTATCCATGTTGAGACGGAGTATTATGCTATAGATAATGGGGTTCCAGTAATAACTCTTCGATTACTGTGAATACATTACCTTGGTATGATGCTTTTGTCGAAGTATG